ATCCTAAACATATTAATTTTTTTTAGCTCACATTTTAATTAAATAACCAAAAAATTATTAAATTAAGCTGTTCCCAAACAAGGTCTAAATGACACATGTGGTGTTTATATAACATTGGCATGTTGTCGGTGCAGTGGTTATATTGACTATTACTCTTACTTCTTCAATAAAATGGAAAGAGAAATCCTAATAATAAATGACATATGTGGTGTTTATAATTTATAATTTATAATCTTATCAAATAAAATTGGATGTTGTCGGTGAGGTTTTTATATTGACTCTTACTTCTTCAATAAAAAGGAAAGAAAAATTCTACTTATTCATAAAATGATACTTGTGGTGTTTATAATTTATAATTTATAAATGAGCTAATTATACTAACAGTTCTTGTAATTTGAAAATTATGTCATTTTAATTTTTTACTTTTTAATTGTGATACATTTGATCTTAAATTTTGAATCTTGTTCCAAACAAAGACAATTAGAGATGTTTCAATTGCAAATGGTCCATTTCAAAAGCAAAGTCATCATACAACTTATTTTATGTTGGTTAACTTATATATTGTTTGAAATGTAATATCATTTTTTTTAATGAATAATGTTAGAACTTTTTTTGTTATAAAGTTTTGGTTGGTTTAGTTTTTAGAATCTATTTTCAGAAATATTTTCTAAGAAACTAAAAATTAAATTGGTGAAAAAAATTAAAAACACATAATTTTTATATAATTATATGTTTTGGGGGTAGAAATATTTTTTTAATATTTATTTTCATTAAATTGATTTCTATTTTTTCAAAAGTCGAACAGGGTGACAATCATTATTAAACCAATCCATTAATTCAAAAAATGCAAAAAAAAAAAAAAACATTTTTTTATATTAAATATATCAATTACACTATCTAATATATATATATATACACACACACACATTTATATCGATTATATATTAAAAGCCTAATAACCATCCATTACACGATAACCATCAAATTTTTTTTTATATAATTATATGTTTTGGGGGTAGAAATATTTTTTTAATATTTGTTTTCATTAAATTGATTTTTATTTTTTCAAAAGTCGAACAGGGTGACAATCATTATTAAACCAATCCATTAAAAAATGCAAAAAAAATTAAATATATCAATTACACTATCTAATATATATATATATATATACACACACACACACATTTATATCGATTATACATTAAAAGCTTAATAACCACCCATTACACGATAACCATCAAAAAATTATCTGTTAACAACAAATACAATCATCTATTACAGGATAACCATCCAAAAACATCAACAATAACAATTACCCATTACATGATCATTATCTAAACACATACTAAAAATTAATTTGGTAAAAAAATAAAAAAATGTAAAAGATTTATCATTTTTATATAATTTTATCATTGGTTGGTAAAAATAATTTTTTAAAATTCAAAAATAATTTTTTGACATTTAGTTTTGTGAAACTAATTTATATTTTATCAAAATGGCTACTTTACCCTTGAAATGGAGCAACGGTATCTTCAATTGTCTTTTTTTGGAACGAGATTCAAAATTTAAGATTAAATATATACCAATTAAAATGTTACAGATCAAAGTGACACAAGTTCCAATTACAGGAACCTTTAGTGTAATTCATGCTTTATAATTTATAATCTTATCAAATAACATTCTCAAATATTCTTTTTAATTTTGATTTTTTCTAGTTAACACATATTACAGTTTGATATGTTTTTGAGCACCAAAAATTAAAGAACAGTTTAAAAGGTTAAAAATATCATGTCTATAGCCCATTTAATCATTTATAGCAGTACCAACTAAAAAAAAATATTAAAAAAGAAAAAAGAAAGAGGTTAGCATCCAAAAACTAGCAAAAAATTGACAATCACTCTGCTTGGTTAGAGTTTTCTAAAAATACTTTTCAGAAAATTTTACTTTCTTATTTTTCGTATTTTTTTTGTTTTTATTGAATTTTTTTAATATTTTAAGCAATTTTTTTTTTAATTTTTAGACATACCTAACATAAATATACCTAAAAATTTTAAAAATTCACTAAATATCAAAATTACAAAAAAAAAAAAATTACGAGAATTCAGTACATTTTTTGTATTTTTATGTATTTATTAATTTTTTAAAATATTTTTTCACAAATTTTTTACTAATTAAGGTGCATCTAAAAAAGTTTAAAAAAATATTTAAAATTTTAAAAATATTCACTAAAAACAAAAAAAATACGAAAACCAAAAAATTTAATTTTCAAAAAACTTAATCTAAAAAACTCAAACCAAACACACTGAATAATATTTAGGGGTTGTTTGGGATGACCTAAATAAGTTCACTTTTTGTCTTTTTACGAAAAGATGTGCAGAAAAGTAAAGAGATAATGTGATGAAAAAAAATAAAAAATAAATTATTTTTGAATTGCCAAACTTAACCTCACTCTATATTTTTTACAATGTCGGCCTTGAGGGCAGGCCAGTAAGGCCACCATCTCAAGCTTCTGATAAGTTAGTTTTTATGTTGAGTTTAGTTTATTGAAATGAATTACAATAAATAATTATTCTATCATAATAAGGTTCATTTTCTCATTTATTTATCAATAATAATAATAATAATAATATATTGCAAATAGAATAATTATTTACCATTATGAAAGAATAATGATTTTATATGAAGTTCAAGTCATGTTCATTCCATTCTATTCAAACTTAGAAAAATACTTAGGACCTCCATAATTTTTTACCCTCACAATCCTCAATTAATTTGTGACCACACATTTTGTTTTTTTTCCTCTCTCTCACAAATGTGTGTGGGAGTGGACGGGTGCTGGGTCTGGAGCATAACCGTCAAATTTATTTCAATGAACCAACCAATATTAGTAGTTTACAAATGAAGTTTCACTGGATATTTTTTTTATAAAATAATTGAAGTCAGGATTTATTTAATAGTAATGAATGATTATTTGCTAAATGTATAGATTATTTATAAAATATTATCAAATATATCCGTTATAATTGCCTCTCAATAAATATATAATTAAGATAAAATTGATCAAATTTTATATTCAATCAGTTATGTCATAAAAAGTTTGAATAAACTAATAACATTACACATCGAACATGTTCAAAATCTATTTCAATAATTATGATTTATGTTTATCTTAATAATTATGAATTATATTAATTATAAAAATCATATAAAATTGCTCAAAAAAATACAATATGCCTAATCTTTTAAAAATAAGGAAAATTTACTCATAAGTCCTAGTTTTTGAAACGTTGAACCATTTAGTCCTAAAAGTTTTCTTATGCTCCATTTAGTCCCCACTACAACATTTTCTTAGTTTAGTGACATTTGAAAGTGTCACAAAACTGTTCTTCTAATGACATTTTTTGGTCTTGTGGCATTTTGAACAAGTGCCACTTCTATCGGTGCCACGGTAGATACGAGTGCCACGGTAAATACTTGCAAGTGTCACTGCACCATCATGGCTAAAAACTTTCAATGACATTTTAATGTCATGGTAGATATTATTTGTGGCACTATCAAGGGCTATTAAAAAAAGAGTTAGTGATACTTATAAGTGTCATTACACCATCAAGACTAAAACCTTTCAGTGACACTTTAATGTTATGGTAGGCACTATTCGTGACGCTATCAAGTGCCATTCGTGACGATAATTCGTTGTAGAACAATTTGATCCGCTCTTGCAGAGACTCAAACCGCCAACCTCCCGCACCATAAACCTTATACACCACACTCTTCCCACTGCACCTCTATAGCACCATATGATTATATATGCAACATATATTATTTATATAGTACATACATCTATATTAATATAAAAGTATATGTATAAACATAATTATTTTATCGAACATAATTTCTGTAAAATAAAATAAAAAAAAGATCACTTTTCGTGACTAAAAATATTTTTTGGTCGCCAATTCTATACTTTTGGCAACTAATTATTTTTTAGTTGCTAAAAAACTTAACTTTTGCCGACCAAAATCGGATTTAGTCACCGAAGATGCACTTTCAGCTACCAAAATTTTAATCGCCAAAAAATTTAATTCCCGCCTTAGGATTTTAGTTCTCCCGCGCTAAAAATAACCACTTTTGGCGACTAAACTTATTTTTTAGTCGCCAATTATAGACTTTTGGCTACTAAAATTTTTTTAGTCACCAAAAAGCTTTACTTTTGGCTACTAAAATTTTTTTAGTCGGTAAAACCCATATAATCAGTGACCAAACTTATTTTTAGTTGCCAATTGTAGACTTTTGGCTACTAAATTTTTTTAGTTGCCAAAAAGCTTTACCTTGGGCTACTAAAAATTTTTTTGTCACTAAAACCCATATAATCAGCGACCAAACTTAGTTTTGGTCGCCAATTGTAGACTTTTGGCTATTAAAATTGTTTAGTCGCCAAAAAGCTTTACTTTTGACTACTAATGTTATTTTGGTTGCTGAAAGCTATATTTTCAGCGATCAAAATTTTTTTTTTTCAGGAAATTTAGTCGCCAAATATGCTTTTTCCTGTAGTGTATATTGAGTTTAATTTATTTATTTTTAATCATTTACTGCATTGTAAAAATTTTAAAAATATATTGGCATTTTTTATTTTTTCAAAAATGCCATTATAAGCTTAGAAAGTTTTTGACTTAGTGGCATTTCTCAAAATGCTATAAAATATTTGTTTATGAAACTTTTCACCTAAGTGCCATAAAAAGTAATTTGCACCTACCTAGTGTCCTGCCATTTCTTAAAAAATGCATTGCTACTAAAGTTTAGTAGCATCTGTTGGTAAATGTCACGAACATAATTTTGTGTCATCTATATAATAAGGGAGAAAAGTTTTTGAAAATGTATAAAATGTATGTGAGATACATTTTAATTTAATGGCTGAGATTAATCCCAAGATTATATCAATGGCTCAGATCAATAGTGATCTCCCGCCCAAACACTTCTCTTCCTTATCTTGTCACCTACCCAGGCTCCTGCTCATTCCCTTTTATCTCTCTCTCCCTCTCTGCTCTCACCCACGTTTCTTCCTTCCTTCTTTATCTCTCTCTCCCTCCCTGTTTACTCTTCAACAAAACCCTCTCGACCACCGCCATCGTGACCACCTCTCTTCTCCCTCGCAGGACCCTCTCTGTTTCTCCTTCTTCGACAGATCCCTCGACCACCGCCATCATGACAGCTTCTCCCTCATCCCCCTTTATCACTTCAGTCCTTTCCTCCTCGCAACAGATCTCGCCGAAACCCTCTTTGCCTCTTTGCTACCGATGCTTGGCAAGGTACGATTTTTGTTTGTTTTGATTTCGGTTATTATTTTTGTCTGTTTTGATTTCGATTTTTCTGAATTTGGAGTTTGTTTGGGTTACTATTGTATCAGTCCCTTATTTTCCTCCACCGTTTGTTAAGTTGAGGTCTGGAGTGAAAGACAGACCCATTGCCATTCTGAGAAGGGAAGGAGAGAGAGAGAGAGAGAGTTTGAGACAAAGTTGGGAGAGACCCAAGTTACACAGATTTGAGAGAGACAGTTTGTTGAGTTGGGAGAGACCCAAGCTACAGTTTTTTTTGTTTGTTTGTTTTGTTTTTAACTAAATGGTTGTATAGCTTTTACTTAAAAATTAATTAGTGAGAAGTAGGAAAATGAATTAGTGAGAAGTAGGAAAATTAAATAAATTATAAAAAATTAATTAGTGAGAAGTAGGAAAATTGATACATTCATAGCTTTGATTTTTGACTTTTGAACTTTTTAATTGCAAGAAATTGTACCAAACAAGATAATTACACCAAACTTCTCGGTTTCAAGTTTGTTTTAATTGAACATGGTTTTGTCTCTTCATTAAACAAAAGAGTAAATTATAGGACAAATTGTTTTTAAGTAAATTAGTGGAGAAATAATTTTATTTTTATGGAAGTGTAGATCTCAGACGTGTATATTTTTTAGTATCAAAGTTACACAAAACAAATATGGGGCATTTACTAATAAATTCTATATCTATGATTTATGAATCATTTAGTCCCATAAATGTTCTTATAAACCCAAAAGTCCTATCTCACATTAAAATTTTCCAATTAAAGTATGCATATATTTAGAAACATAATAAGACAATAGTACACATTAGAAACATTTTAAGAATAATACTTTTAGTAAAAATTTAATAAGATAATTATACACAAATGCCTCATTGTCACATTTTAAAAAAAAATGGCACATTTTGTAAAAAAAATTAATAAGACAATAATGCACACATTTGACAAAAAATTAATAAAATAATAGTACATAAATGAAATATATTCACATTTGGAATTTTCTAAGAAATATAGTGAAATAATCTCATGTCGGATTTATTCAATTTAGAAATGATGTAATGGGTAGAGCTGGTTGGATTTGAGGTTTGGTGAAAGCAAGGTTTTGAAATTGAAGGGGGCAGAGCAAGCAACAATGGCTGAGATTTATATTCAAGCAACAATGTGAATATAAATTCTAGATATTCTTCTGAGATTTTTAATTAGGGCATTAGTGGCCTTTCGTCCTTCAAATAAATAAATAAATAAATACGGCTTTGTTTGTGGCATATTATACAAGTATACTTTTTATTTTTTAATTTTTTTTATCATATCACTTTCTACTTTTCTACATATTTTTTTTTTTAATTTTTATAAAAACTTAAATAGTATACTTATTTATATCATCTAAAATAATTTTTTAATTTCAATTAATTAAGATTATTAGTCTAAAAAAAACTTTGGCAAAATTAGTCTAGAATTCCATTATGATGGTATACTTACTTTTATAACATAGATCCATAGGTAAATTCCCCTCTGTGCTATTTCCTTTGTCTGTGTATACACAGGTAAATTCCCCTCTGTGTGTGTATGTATCTATGTTATGATTCTTCGAGACTGAATTCTCTTTTGTTCTGATTCTCTTCATCTGTACTGCTAGAAGTGGCCACCACCGTTCAATCAACACGACCACCAGGTAGTTTGATTTCTCTTTCTCTCCCTTTCTCTCTATCTCTATTTGTTTTTGGCTCTCCTTTCCCAGATTTCTAAAGCCTAGCTGTGTTCACATTTTCTAGAGAGAGAAAGAAAGTAAAAAAAGAAGAGTAATTGAGTAATTGAGTTACGATTTTGGTATGAAGTTCATTGACTTCTTTGTTCAATTTCATGATATTTTATTTGTATGTATATGATTTTCTTTGTTCAATCTCATGATTTTTTTTTTCTTTTTTTTTTTAGAAATGTTTGAATGTTGGTGCTGTGAAATGTTCTATTTTTGGTTTGGAATTGGATTGTTTTACTATGAAGTTTTTGAGTGGGGTTGTTGGCAAAATTGAGGGTTTAGTTAAAGTGCTGATAAAGTTGGTTTTTTCGCATCCATTTTGGGTTTGTTTTGTTTGTGTTGACAGTCACTGCAGTGGATAGTGGAAGGAGAGTTCTGCAATTTCTAGGATTGGATGATGAGGAAAAGAGCTCTGTTGGGTTTGATGTAAGTGTGATTAATTTATTGTTATATAAGTTAAATTTAAGTTGATTGATTTACAATAAATTGATCTTTAGCTTTGTTGGGTTGGGTTGGGTTTTTTTTTTTTCCAGGGTTTGAAGGTGGATCTGATAATCACTTAACTTTTTTATCGGTTAATAAATTTTTTGAATTTGGAGTTTATTTGGGTTACTAATAAATTGGTGTATTGTATTCATTTTGAATTTCATGTCTTTATTTAGGAATTTTTTTTCTTCCCGTGAATTCATTACCTACTCTTTGAAAAGAAAAAATAAAAAAGCAAAAAAATTTCATTGATTTTAATTCATTTTGGACCATAATGCATCTTGAGATAGTCTGTAGTTTATGGAAAATTTTACTTTTCTGTACGCTCCAAAGGTTTAGTCATGGAATTCTTGGGGTTTGTTTAGAATTTCATTAGAGGAAGTAGAGCCAATTCAAGATGATACTGTCAACCCTACTTACTGTAGCAAATAACTTATAAAACATACACTGTTTACCATTTTCCTAAGGTAGAGAGACAGAGGCTATTTCCGTGATTGTAATGCGAGTGTTAAAAAGTTTGATAATTTGTTTGGTAGTTGATCTATTTGCTATTAATCTCGATTGTTCATTAAAGTCGAAACTGGATCTGTATTTATAGTTTGATCGCAAAATTTTTAGCAACACATTTAATAAATTACATTTTAATTTAATAATTTTATTTTCATTTATATTTTAATTTCATCATTAATTCTACTGTGCCTTCAGGAACAGGTATACACTATCTATATAATAAGGCAAAAAGATTTTTGAAAATGTATCAAAATGTCTAAGAGATACATTTTCTTTTAATGGTCTACATCAATTCTAAATATATATCAATGATTCAGATCAATCCTCTTAAATATACCAAACACATAGTTCTCGCCCAAACACTCATCTCTCTCTCTCGCACCCCAAGATCAATCCTCTGAATATCTTAATGCCCCCTCGGTTCCCTTCAACTCCCTCTACACGTTCTCTCTCACGTTCTCTGTCCCTTTCTACTACCCAAAATGTATTATTGATCTCTCTCATAACCCATAATCTTCTTGAAATGTTGTTGTAGTACAGAGAAAGAGAGATAGTGGGTGTTGTGCTCTCCCAATATCTAGGTCAATTTTTTATGGGTTTTTCACTCATCTCAGGGTTCATGTATGTATGTATAGATTTGTGTTTTTATTTTTGTTGATTGATTGTTTAATTGATAGGAAGCTTCCATTCCAACTGACTTTCTTGCCTAAATCTATGTTTTTATTTTTATTGATTGATTGTTTAATTGATAGGAAGCTTCTAGGAAAATTCTTTTTTTTGGGTTTTTGTTTTCGCTCATATTAGGGTTCATGCATCCAGATCTGTGTTTAATTGATTGGTTACTGGATCAATGCTTGGTGTTGAGTTGAAAAGTTGAATAAATTTGTTCAAAGATGAATTGGGTTGTTTACTTTATCTCTTGATTTGTCCCCTTTTCCCTGCTCTGTTTTCTAGGTGTGTTTTTGGGTTTACCCACATTGGTGTGATGTATGTTGGATTTTGTATTTTATTTTGTATGCAAAGTTTGATTTTTTTTTTTAGTATTGAAAATGAGTATTCTCTCATTTTCTCATTCTTTTATTATAACTAAATTTTGGGTGTTTGGGTTGTTTTCCTTGCTTTTTTCCTTTCTTTTGGGATTTGGGTTTTTGGATCGTACAAAGTCATCATTCTTTTTTATTTATTTTCTACATATTAATTGGTCATTCTTGAGGAGTGCCTATTTTTTCATCAGATTTTTCCTAGATTTTATTTTTACTTTGCTAATCAAACAGCAAATGGTAAAACTGGTTGATTTGAAAAGGTTTATGAAGATAAAAGAGTTGGCCTTGATATGAGAAAAGAGTTGGTCTTGGAGATAAAAGAGTTGGTCTTCATAAAATAGTTGAGTTGGTTGATTAGTGGTTAATTATACCCACAAATGGGGCATTCTTGAGGAGTGCCTACTTTTTTTTTTAATTTTTTGGTAACTAATGGATTACTTTGCTAATCCAACAGCCAATGGTAATTTTTGAAAAGGTTTGTGAAGAGAAAAGAGTTGGTCTTCATAAAAGAGTTGGTTGATTAGTGGTTAATTATACCCACAAACAAGGCATGTATCTTTTTTGGGTGTGATGTCTTCCTTTATATCTTTGATCATGTTATGTTTTACTAGGATTCTGTTATGCATGGATTTTTGAATGGTGAAGTCTGAGCACATTCTTTCATGTCTTTTATTCTTTTTCTCTGAATATTTATTTTCATTTTTCCTTTTCTTTCTTGGTGTATGTTTTCATATGACTGTTGCTTTGTACCAATATTTATTTTCATTTGACTGTTGTAAGTCAATTTATCAGTTGCAAACATATAAAAAACTTCCGTCCTGTTTGGGCTGCTGTCATAAACTTCTGACATGGCAGCAAGCTTTGGAATCTAAAAGCATGATATATAAACTTTAGCAAAAAAAATCAATAAATAAATAAAAGGATTGTAGACTGAGGTCAGTGATGAAAAAAATGGGTCCATTCATATTTTTAGTCTGTAATTTTATATATAGATTGTTTTAATTGTTCTGGTCTAATTCTGTGATTATGGACATTCATGTTGAAAAGTTTTGGTTTCTATTAATTTGTATTTCCTTTCTTCTTCACTTATATTGGTTGTTAATTTTGATATCTTTGGGTTTTTATTAGTTGGTGCACTCTTTTTGGATTACATTAGCTCATTTTTTAAATGGCAGCTCCTCACATTGTGAAACTAAAGACTGAGGTTGTTATAGCCAATTCAAAGGTTATCAAAGAGACAACTTTTTTCTTGGTCAGTAAATCTTTCTCTTGCTCTTTATGTCAGTTGATCTTCTACTATGTGATATATCATAGTTTCTTGAGTGGAAGCCACAATGATGAACTTTGACAACTCCTTTTGGCCCTAAATATAAATTGACATTGTAACTGTGTATTGAAATGTGTATATTGAAATTTCTGACTATAGGGGCGAAGTTTCAAGATAAAAAAAATGTACCCATGTGTGCTCCCTACCACAGTAGGGACTGTGTGTACTGAAATTTTTTTCCTGAGTTGGCATATCTAAGTTTATACTTAAAAGAAATGTACCCATGTGTGCTCCCTCCCTCTAAAACCCGTTAATGTTCCCATGGTTGCTGATTTTGTTTTCAAGTGCTAGACTTTTTTTGTGTTTTCATTCTCTTCTCTTCTCATTCTTATTTTATTATTATTATTATTTTTTATAACTTTGTTTTCAACTCTCTGCAATGTTGTCATCTAATTGTGATGATATAATAGAATTTACTTGCAAGAGTGATTGTGTTTTTCATGTTGAAAAATTGTCACTCACTATGGAGGGTTGAAACAGTGATTGTATTTTATTTTATCTTTTGGTCAGAGTGATTGTTATTAATTGCTATTTATTGCCTGTTGATGAGAATCATAGATGAAGGGAAAGATATGTATCAAATTAGATAATGGGAAAGACCAAGAAAATTTGAGATAGTTGAGATAATTGAAATTTTTTTAGACTAAGACATTGAAAATTTGTTTTTGCATTGCCTCTTTCTAGCATGCTTATTAGTAGCTGATTGGTGTACTTGGTTTAGTGTGTAGTATTTTGTTTTTATTTATTTATTTATTTATTTTTAGGGAGGGGGGAGGGGGTTGTTAATGCAGTAACCCTAGCAAGAGTGCTTGATTTGTTTTTCTATACGCTCATAGAAATTATTTTTGTGATTTTTTGACACTCATAGTTGTGGATTGTGATGTTACATTTGTTTGGTTACTTATTGGTAATTGTAAAGAATTAACCTCACTGTAAATAGATGGAGGCTTCCCTTCCCTTGCATTGTAAAAGGGAAAGGTGAGATAAATGGATAAAAAATTTAGCTTATATTTCATTGACATTTCCCTTATCAATTTTTTATTTATTTATTTAAAATTCGTATCCAAATCCACGATCTATACTCATTTGGAACCTATGATTTTGTTTTTGTTGTTTTATAGGTGTAACCTATGTTGTTTGGTTTGGTTTGATTTGATTTGGGTCTGAAATAATGTTTGATCTTCATAAAATGGGATTTGATTTTAGAAATGTATTTTTATTTTTAGTTTGATTTATGAAATGGATTTAATTCCTTAGTGGAAAATGAGTGTTGATTTTTTATCATTTTGAAAAAGTTTTTGAAATGGGTGTTGAAATAAGGAACACATCGCCACATCCGCTCTGTGACTGTCCACCACCATTGAAAAAGATCGAACAAAGAAAATCTTACCATTATGTTTTAATCATTTTATTTTGATTTATATTTTAATCTCATTATTAATTGCACCGTGCCTTCAGGCACGGGCATACACTAGTATATATATATGGAAAGTGAAAGGTGTAGATAGGGGAAAAGAAAGAAAAGAAAGTGAGGGGGGTTTCGGGGGTTACTATTGGGGGGAGAGGGATTGCATCGATAATATGTGGGAGGAAGAAGACGAACAAATTTGGGAGTGCGGGAGGTCAGATTCCGTATGGGAGAGACTGAGGAACCAACCCCTCTATTCACCACCACCGTCTCCCTCCTCCGGAAAAGTTTTCCCCATCTCTCCACAATTCTACTTCTCACTACCACCGCCTCCCTCTATCCTCATCTCTCCCAAACCCCAACTCCACTTCTCAGCACCACCACCACCAAATGAAGTAAGAATATGGATAATGAATGTTTACCGAGGTTAGACCTTTCGTCTGTCTCTCTCCTCTCCGTTCTCTTTCTCTATCTTTCTCTCCTCTCTGTTCACATTGCTTTCAATTTCTTTTTTTAAGAAAGGTAATGTTACATGTCTCAAAATTTATTTAATAAATGATCAAATAATTTTACGAATTTACAGACTCTATTGTAAGATATTTAGTTATTTATTTAATAAAAATTTAGTATTCTTTACAACTTTTTACCTCAAATTTCACTTTAATATTTGTTTTCAATTGTAAATATGTACATCTTATATTTTCAGTCAAATTATAATATGTCCTTAGCAAAAAAAAAATTTGTACACCGGAAAAAATATAGAAAAGACTTTTTTTTTACCTCATGTGAGGGTAACATCACAGATGATCATAGGGTCCGTTTGTTTGATGGATTATCTGTGATTATGTTTAGTTGTTATTTAGGTCAGATATATAATATAAATTATAAATTGTATTTGTTTATAAATTAGAGTAATTCTTTTTAGTTAATTGAAATTAAATTTATAAATTTGCATAAAATCTCACAACATATAATATATTATTTTATTATTTTTGTAAAGTGGAGATAAATTTGTAATTTCAAGGGATTAGATTGTCAATCCTCAGAGCATCTCTAACAATCTCCTTTTTTTTTTTTTTAAAATTTATTCAAATTTTGGCTAAAAAGTGTATTTCCTATTTTAGAGAATTAGGGTTCGTTTGGTTTGTATTTCTGAAAAAATTTTGAAAAATTTTCTCTATAAATGAGTTTTTAAAAGTAATCAAACTAAACAAATTTTTTCAAAAAAATTTCTCAAAACTTGTAAACCAAACAAGTTTTTCAAACAAATTTCTCTCTCACACACATTAAATCAATCACTTTTTTCAAAATTCTCTCTCAAAATAATTTTTCAAAACATCTTTTGAAAAAAATTAAACTAAATAACTTTTCATACTTTTCATCTCTAAAACACATCTCTCAAACACAAACCAAATATACCCTTACTTTTTCAATTATCATCTTTAATAACACTCTACTTTTCCTCTATATATTTTAAATATTTTTAAAATATATTTTTTTTATTAAGAATATATTTCCTAATTTCTTCTCTCTACTCTACCATATGAGAAAAAGACAAGGGACAAGAGGAAAAAATGTTTTTTAAATTATAGGTAAATAAGGAGTTGAGTGGCAGTTATTGAAGAGAATTATTTTGTATTTCATTATTTAAAGCTGGGAAAAAGTGAGGATAAGAGACTATTGGGATGCTCTAACCCTTCGATGGGATTGGTAGTCCTGCTATTGGGTGGGATTAATAGTTCAGCCCAACAATGTTATTGCCAATTAACCAGCCAAACATGCCATATGTAAGCCTTATCTCCTACCCAGTCAGTCGGCCAAACAAACGGACATAATGTAACTTGACCGAAAATGGGGAGTTGACTTTTACTATTGTAAAAGAATAAAAGTTGGACCCCTTTCTCCCTCTGGACTCCCATTTTTTTTTTTTTTTATTGATCACTTTTTTTTTTTCCTCCTCTAATTACCACCCCCACGTGTGAGTGGGAGTGCTGGGGGTTGAAGTTTGAGGGGTCTAAATCACTGTATAGCTTTTAAGTTTCAAAAAAAAAAAAATTTGAAATTATTAATTTTGTTATGTTATGTTATTTATTTGCGCGACTTGAAACTTGAGGTTTTCCTGAATTCTAAAAGATTTTGTGTGCAAGTAATTAATGGTTTTAATTTCTTTCTTTGTTTTTTTGGCTTAATAATTAATGGTTTTACTTACCTTGATTGACAATCATGTATTTCTAAAGGCTTTTTAATGTTTCCTGCAAAATTAATTATGGTTCCTGTATAGTACTGAATTTTGAATTTTGGTATTGGCTTGTTTTTTTTTTTTTTGATCTGCTGGTATTGGCTTGTTTGCTATTACAGAGGTTCATTTACTTGCTAAATTGCGTCAAATTTTCATCAATTACTGATATTTCTTTTTAAATTACTTGAGAGCTAGTATCGGAGGAGGTATCAAAGCTGGCAGAGTATTGTTACCTACGAGAACGTGAAGTTGCTCGGAAGTACCGTAATAGTAAGCTTCTACACTTTCATATAGTCTTGCTACCAATTTAATGGAAGCAACATAAAAAGCAAGGTCTATTTGCATTTTGCACTCCTTTTTTCATCATTACATTTCATATTTTCATTTTAGCATTTAAAATGATGCATAATATAATTTTCAATGCATACTAAAATGCTTAAATTTTTAATGCCATTATCAAAAAAATAATGCGAATAACAATCCTCTATAAAAAATTTAAAAAAATGCAGCTTTATATATATATATATATATGTCTGGCTCATGCAATCAACATATCCAATCAACATATCCATAGTGAAGCACATTTGTAGAAAGCATGGGATCGACTGCTGGCTATTTTGATGAGTAACTCACTTATATTTTCATTTATTATCTCTCTCTTTTTCTTTTTTATTTTTTATTTTTTAAGTTGTAAGTATTATTAAAAGATCACTCAGTATTTAGTTTCAATTTTCAAAATTCAAATTTTTGAAAATTGAGTTTTTTGCTTTTTGTATTTTTTTAGTAAATATTTTTAAAATTTTAAGAATTTTTTTTTTAGATGCATCTTACTTAAATATATCTAAAAAGTAAAATATTTGTAAAAAATATTTAAAAAAATTAATAAATACACAAAAAAATATGAAAAATATATCTTTTTTTTTTGTATTTTTAGTATTTAGTGAATCTTTTAAAAAAAAAATCACAAAAATTATAATTTTTAAGTGTATTTATATTAGGTGTGTCTAAAAATTAAAAAAATTGCTTAAAATATTAAAAAATTCAGAAAATAAAAAAAATATATGAAAAACGATAAAGTAAAATTTTCTGAAAAGTGAATTCTAAAAGTCAAAACCAAGCAGAGTGATTAATTTTCTCACTAAATCTGTACTACTATAAAAAGAAAGTGGGCATTAAAAGTGTTTTCTACATTTTTTATTCAATGGCATATTTACACACGAATTACAACTTAAAGTGAACCATTATACTACTGCAAAATACTTTTTCACAGAGGAAGTTATTTTGTGATTCTAGAATTAGATTCAAATTCAAACACCAATAGCCACTACTCCTTATATCTTTTCTAATCATACGAAGAGTTGTGACTAATTGGCCAAAGGGTGCCCTAACATCTATAAAGAGTTCGGGCCATATAATATAACACAGTTTTTTTATTGATTTCTTCTCCTCAACCATTTGAAACACACCAAACTATATTTTTTCCTTCTCTTTATTTATTTATTTTTTTTGTGCTCTGATTTCACAATAGAAATCTTTGTATTGCAGTAAACAGCATGCGAAGAACTATGAATTCCCGATTTAATACCATAATGTCTAAGGCAAAGATTTTGCTATCCTCAATAGCAGATATGCGAGATGTTGACGGTTAGTGCTACCATAAAATAAACCACTAAAAAATTATTAATTTGTGTTGAACTTATCATTTATTTACAACTCATAGGATCTTGTGGAATACATTCCTATCTACTTGAGACTCTATAAGAAATTGCACAGGACTTAACATAGCATAAGTGTCCGAAATAACACTACAAAAAAATTGACTTTTTGCGACAGTAAAATACCGTTGCTAATACTTCTAATGCCGTCGCTAATACTTTTTGCGACGGCAAAATGACTTTTTGCGACGGCAAGAGGGGGGTCGCAACTGCAAGGGTTGTAAAAGAGTTTTTGCGACGGTAAGTGCCGTCGCTAATGTTTTGCGACGATCCTATTTTAACCTAATTGATATATTATATAATATTATATTATACAAATACAATATATATAAATATACTATATATGAACAACACACACACACACACACATATATATATATATATATATATAACACCTTTTATATACATATATAAAATATCTATAAATATTCAGATTAATTATATATAATTAAACATCACATCAAATTAATTAAATACCTCATTAAATTTTCATGTAACCACACAATTAATGAAGTCCCAAAATAAAATAAAGTAATAATAAATAAATGATTACCTACGAAAAAATCCGAGTCGCTACACTACTGCCTTGGTGGAGGCATATCACTAGCACCTGAAAATGATTTTTCCCAAATAGGATGAGCCAAAACCCAGTAAGAACAATTTAACACAATATATGAGATTTAATAAAGATGTAAGTACAATTTGCATATACAATGTTTGTAACAAAATAACCACGTTTTATATAACCGTGAAGCACCAAGATTTATGTTTTAATTCATTTTCCTTCAATCCATTTCAAGTTCATTTATTTTTCCTCAATTCATGAGTTAATTCCATTATCTTTCTACAACCCAATTGAGACTACAACTTAGTGATTTTCCAATTCAATACACTACCACACAAACACTTCAAATCTGTAATTTTACGAAAATTTCGTCCACGAGATCGGCACCCATGTATACACAAGTTTTCAGGACTTTCACTATGGACACTCCGACCAACTTAATTTCAATGGAGTTCATCCCCTATCTCGTCCCAAACAATGGCGTACATCCTTTTTTTCCTCCAAAACAATCATACATATACAATGTATATAAGTCATAGTCATATTCAATGACAACCAATAACAAATTAGTTTCAATTGACCTAATCCTCACGCAATTTCTACAACAATCGTAGTTATCCTCCACCGATAACCCAATATAGATATTTCTAAACAGATATATTATTCAAATTCCATGGGTGAAAGACAGCACATGTCCAACTCCACCATTTACATCAACAATCATCCAATTTCACATTACCATTATCAATTTCAGTTATTTACACAAAATAACAATTTGACCCATTTAGGGCAAAACTCCTATTTTTCCAAGTACCAACCCAAATGGCCCAAATCAAGTATTTGGCCATAATACAACCTCACTTTCAACCCCATAACCATTTACTTCACATTCATTTAGAAATCCCTCTTTTATTTCACACCCAAATCCTAGGTTTGCTCAAACTACTCCCCAAATCCCGCCATTGTAACACAATAACTAATAACTAAGCTAAAACCATATGAAAATGTAGAAAATCCCTACCTCAAGAAGAGAAGACGAGCCAAGCAAGAGTGAGACTTCAAAGATGCCCAAACCCAACTTTATTCGGATCAAAATGGAGATCTTGTGATGGTCTACCTTTTTATCAAAGGGATTAGGGTGAGAAAATCATTAGAAGTAAGTGAAAATGTAGAGAGAGAGAGAGAAAGAGAGAGTGAGTATGTGTTTTAGAGAGAAAGGGTCTCAACTTTAGGTTTTAGGGAGAAAAGATCTGAAAAAGTGATGTAAAAAGTCATTTTCGTGATATGATATATGCATAGTCCTTGCAAGTGCAAGACTTGACGCTCGAGTGTCAGACACAAAAATGTTGTTCCGCTCGAGCGCCAAGACACAATGAACAAGACGCTTATCGCTCAAACGCAAGAAGTGACGCTCGAGTGTAGAAAACACACATCCAGTAGTTTTATAGACAACAGACAAACGCTCGAGCTTAAGAAAGGTCGCTCGAGCACCCACCCGCTTGAGCGTAGAAATCACTCTCCCAGTAGTTTTACAGACCTGCAAAAGTACTGAGTGTTTGCAAAGCCCGCTCGAGCGCAAGAAGTGCCGCTCGAGCGGAGGATCAAAATTCTAGGTAACACAAGGTTTGAAAAACAAGTGACCAACTTACCCAAACACAACCACGGCAACCCAAAGCCAATTTCAAAGAGATACAAGGGAAAATAGAGGTAAACAACAATATAAAAGCCTTAACCCGAGTCCGAAATACCACAAGAGTCGGGTCAAAATCGGAATTGCTATAGAAAATTTCTCTGTATAGGGAATCAAAAGTCAAAGACTATAGCTCAAATTGTTTGACCATGATGTTGTTTAAAAAATAAAAAATAAATAAAAAAAAAAAAAAAAAAAAGAAGAAAAAGCAATCAGTGTGTTTGGTTTGAGTTTTTTGGATTAAGTTTTTTAAAAATTAAGTTTTTTGGTTTTCGTATTTTTTTGTTTTTAGTGAATATTTTTAAAATTTTAAATATTTTTTTTACTTTTTTATATTCACCTTACTTAGATGTATCCAAAAAGTAAAAAATTTGTGAAAAAATATTTTAAGAAATTAATAAATACATAAAAATACAAAAAATGTACTGAATTGCCGTATTTTTTTTTATATTTTTGGTATTTAGTGAATTTTTAAAAGGTTTTTTTCACAAATTTTTTACTTTTTAGGTATATTTATGTTAAGTATGTCTAAAAAGTAAAAAAAATTATTTAAAATATTAAAAAAATTCAGCAAAAACAAAAAAATACAAAAAACAAGAAAGTAGAATTTTCTGAAAAGTGTTTTTTGAAAACAGGAACCAAGCAAAGTGAATGGTTCTAAGGCTTCGTTTAGCAATCTTCAGTTTTAGTCAAAAAGTCACTATAAGTTGTCACATCACTTTTTTTATTTTTCTATATATCTTTTCATAAAAGACTAAAAAATTATTAAAATAATCTATTATCAAACGAGCCCTAAGTACTATTTTGATAGCCACACATACAAGACATGCTGTGGGGTTTGGGGTAGATCATTATGCTTTGAACCTAATCCTCTAGTTTGGATTTATATTGTTAATGTTTTTGATGAAAAACATATCACTGGATTAGCTTAAGTTAACCTATTGAGTTGAGCAAACTTATAATTTTATCTTCAAAATCATTACACATTATTCTATTTAAAAGGAGAATTACATCTTAGTGAGACAAGAATTTTTATTTTATTTTATATAAATATGAAGAGGTATAAGTTATACTTGCACGTCTACAGCTTTTCAATTGTACCTTATCGCAGAATCACTTGCACCTTATATGTTTTTGTAATTTTTTTTATTTGTCCACTGTGTTGAAATTCTTCCAAAATTATATCCAAGTTTTTTGATTCACCGCACGATACGATATGACGGGCTTGCTAGAATACTACGTACATCTTCCCATTTCAGTGGAGAGAAATTTGAGGGTTACTCGTATCATGAGTGATATGTGATCATGCTATCCAATAATAAATTTGTATAAAAATGATGAATTCTACTTTCAGAATATAACTACTTTATGATCACATATGTATAATAAATAATTATTGAATGGTGATAACATAATTATATTTAAAAAAAAAAAATCCTAAAAACTGGGTCGCTCTCGCCACGAAAATTAAAGGCATCATATAATTTTCACAAGTTACTTCCTAATTCCTTCCTTCACAATATGGCTCCTTTCTTTGAGCCTCAACGTATTTTCCTTCTCATCTAGATGACATTCTTTTTGAAGTTTCTAAATTTGTCTTTTTTCTTACTTCCTTTTTATTTGGGTAAATTGCATATATCTTTTTCAAGATTTGAAAAAAAATATAATAAATTTTATAAATTTAATTTAATTATACTGAACTCTCTTACACTGTGTTTAGTTCATAAATTTAAATAAAGATTGAAAGAAAAAATAAAAAAGTGAATGAAATAGGAATTTTTATACTTTCATAATATTTATATTAATTTTATTCTATTTAACCTTACTAAAAAAATCAGTATAGTTTCTTAAAATTATATAATTGCATAGCATTTGTCCATAGCGTTGGAAAAAAAAGATTTCATAGTGTTTGTCCATATCCTCCCATTGGTTATTATTGTCGCAATAGTTGACTGTCATTATTCATTAGTATTTCATCTAAAAAACATTATGGGTATTCAACCCCCCCCCCCCCCCCCCCAACCCCCCCAAAAAAAAAAAAAAAAACATTATGGGTGTAAATACTAAATGGACAATTACACTGCAATGAAGTAAGAAAAAATAAATTACATATTAATTAAAAAATTTATAAGTTTAATTATTAATATTTATATAATTTTTCATTGATTTGAAATTTGTTTTTGGAAACTACACTCCCAATACTAAATAGGACTAAAGTAGACAGGTGTAATTTATTCAATTACTTATTTATTTATTTATTTATTTTTCGTGAGCAGGAGTTTACTAAAATACATATGTGAGTTGCATGGGTTGGTTTTTTAGTCAAATAGCAATAACAAATGACAAGCAGATCATAATAGAAAAAATTGTTAAAAATGAAGTGAGTACATCTTTTACCCATGCAACTCATGCAACCCATGCAACTCTTGCGATGGTATTGACAGAGACAAACATGAAGTGAGTACATCTTTTACCTCTGTTTAGGGACATCATTCAAACAAATTATAGATTTTCTTGTCCAAATAGATGAAAGGAATCATGAGTATTTATGCTTTATCATTCTTGCTCAACTAGAATCAGATTTGTCATTCTTTATTGGAATATGAATTCCTTTCAATATGTGGGTTATCCATTAGTATACAGAAAGCAAAAGCACAGAGAGATGTTTGGGAAA